GACAAGGATTGGTGTCAATAGGGAGTAGGGGTAGACGGGGTACTGTACTGTACAATACGATCATATAGTATAGCATACCTTGGCCAGTATTGCGCCGATTCCTTTGCCTCTCAGCGTTTTAGGCACTTCTATGTGTCAATGAAATGAACAATTAATTACCAATGATATGAACACCAGAGGAATGTATGTATGGATACCGGTGTGATGTAGTTCGAGAACTCCTCCTTTAATCTCCTTGTAGTCGAGGACTGCTTTGTCTGCGGACACAACACACCAATTACAATGAGACCAGACATGTATGTCGACCGATGCCTACCTTTGCCCATCTGTATGAAGAACTGTCTGTTGAGATGGTTGTGCTCTACCTTCAAGTCATTGACTGAACTGAACGCAAAGGAACTCATTCTCCAGATAGGGATCACTTGACGGCCACTCCACACACGACTCCCATAACACACCCTTTGGCTCTCAAATCGGACTAAATTGGCGGTCAATCTGCGGATCAGTGACAGAGACATCGCTTCAATGGACTCACTATTTGGACACAATTGGAGTGAAGAGTTGAACGAATGAAGTGATGTTTGTGTTGACAGTCCGGCACTCATTCACGTGATGTACGGTTCAGTCTATACGTGCCATACGTTCATCAATTCATTGATGTCTAAAGTTTCTAAACCCCTTAAACTGCAACTTATGATACATTTGGTCACTTTTGTATCACTAACTTGTGATCATAACTTATAATTGATCTCATTTTGTATATTCAGACAATATATGAATTGAAATTATAATTTACAACATCTGTATACTGTACTAATTTAAATACATTTAAAATGTTTTTTCAATCACTTATTTTTATATCAGATATAATAAATGGGGGAAAGGGAGTAGAAATCATTGAAAAGAGAAACCGCATTAAAAACAGGCGCCGGGATACCAACCCGGGTCCCCAGATTACATGTCTGGTGTCTTAACCACTGGACAATACAATTATCTTAATTGATCTTAATTTAAATACAATTTTTAAAACAAAAATTATAAAGTTTAGTCATATTCTGTTTTATTAGTTAATCTAGTACCCTTACAATTGTTTATTCATTAGGCGTTTTTAGATACCATGCCTAAATTATAAGTTTGAAATAACGTTAGTGTCAAACTATTAATATTAAATTAAAAATATTTTAATGATAAACTAATTAAATATAAATTAGTAATAAATTTGCTGGAAGGTTAAACACCAGTTTATCCCAATGTTAATGTTTGACAAAATTCACGATTCTTGACAATTTTAAAAAGTTATATTATTATGCCATATTTTTTTAAGTAAGATGATTAATAATTTATACTCAAGACTGTTTTTAAAATGAAATTATATATAAAACTAGACAATCATAAGGGGTTCTCAAAAAATACAGCGATTGTGAGCAATGGAAGTCTGAAATGGTGATCGACTATACTCTGTAGTAATCGTTATTCCCGTGTTTTCATCATAAACTCTATCTTATCCTTGATTTTCTTCATTTCGTTTTTATTTCCTTTTAATAGATTTATATTGAAAGCGTGCATAAAATGCATTTTCACTCAAATCTTATTCTG